ATAAACATTTTTTCCTTCCTTATTAATGTACAAGGATCAAATATATATATAGCAGCACTAATTGATAATTAGTAAGAGTTAGTTCCAATAAAAAGAGATATATATTTTTTTTTTATTTAAAAAAATGTAAAAAAAAAAAAACTATATCTAAGTCGATAAGGGCCAACAGCCAGAAACACGTCTGTGGTTAGCTTTTCTTGATTAATCAAGAATGGGTATTTGGCCAAAATTCTGGAATAATTAAAAAAATCAACGAGAATAGTTGATATTTATTCCGATAGATAGAGGTGCAAGCCATCAGCAACTTTCAGTTGCACAATAAGGAGATGCCTTTTTCTTAATTTATATCTAAGCTATTCATTTAAAAGGCTATAATATCCTTCATTATTTTTTAATTATCCCTAGTACACGTGGTACAGGCCATGATAATCATGGTGGGTAGTTAGCGACTGCTTTTTACTGTAAGCGCACCCCATGTCTACATATGTGAAAAGCAGTTTGACTTTGCACTTACAAATGTGCCAGAGCCCTGTTTGGATACTTGCACTTGCTGGTGGGGTTGGACTATCCCTCATAATAGCTTCTACAAACATCTCAATTTGCCATCTGTCCATTTGATCTTGACAATTCTTCTAGCATACCCTAAAGATGTGGGGGAAAAAAAGTTCATTTTTATATGCTCCAGTTATTTTTTTTTTGGTCATAGTACTGTTAACAGTGGGGTTATTCTTTATGTTCTTCAGGATGGTTGGATATGGATGGAATTGGAAAATGATGGTAGCCATGGTAGAAATGGAGCGTTTTTTTTATTATCCCTAGTACACGTTGTACAGGCCATGATAATCATGGTGGGTAGAAGTAGTTAACTGTTTTTACTGTTAGTGTATCACATAATCATATGAAAAGCAGTTCGACTTTGTACTTATAAATGTGCCAGAGCTGCATTTGGTTACTTGTACTCACTGGTGGGGTTGGAATTTTACAAGAAACTGTGGCCATTGATGCATTTTTTTTTAAACAGAAAAAGTGCCCAATGCAGGATTCGATCCCGGGTTGTAGCGGTCGAAAACCAACAGTTTAGACCATCCTTCCACTAACCCCCAAAATGGAGTGTCAAATTCAGGAATGGAGCGGTAGTACGTACACAAGGAAGGAAAGGATTGGTTCGATAACCTGATAATGGACTTGAATTGGAAGATAACTAGGAGAGATTTTGCATCCTTGTTGTTCAATGAACATAAATTTGCAATCTCTTATTGTTTCTTAAATTGGTTTCCTTAGTGGTGGAATGTTCTTCTGTCAAATAATTGGCAATATTAACTTGAATTTGGGAGTTTTATCTTCCTATTCTTTATTCTTAAGGCTTTCCACCCAACACAAAATACCTTTTTTTTACTTATCCTTTTAGTCTAAATTAGACAAGATCTTGGAGGTCGTGCTCATAAAGAAGCTCAAGAACTCTTCTTGGTTCTCTGTACAGGGATCTCTTGTCCTTTCCAATACAATTTAGTATATGTTGGGGAGTGGCCTCTTTGGTTTTGCACCTAGTGCACATGGGGAAGCTTTTGGCTCCCTCTTTATAGACTAGAGGGCGCAGGTGACCAGATTTCCATCTGGCCAACTGTGTTGGCCTATACAGTAAAACCTCCATGAGAGGAAATTCTCCTTATAGAAGACATCTCAAACACAAAAGGACAGTTTTGTTCGCCAAAATTACCATTTTTACTATCTAAGCAACTATCTGGTATTATGACACTTTGGCTCTGCAGCTAGATGTTGTCTTTTACAGTGAGGTTCTATTGTTTATGTTTTCATTGGGTTAAAGCATAAGGTTTTGCTGTATAAGAATGCAGAGGCATTGATGTGTGATTGCTTTAGGAGATGTTTGGCCATTTTCATCTTATCTTTGCATGAGATTGTTATATCAAGGTTTGACTGTACATTAGAATATCTCTATATGACAGCACCTAGTTGCAAAGATAAGGTCTTCTTCTTTCTTATATCAAGAAAGAAGAAGACCATATATACAAGGTAATACTTTTTTTTATCTGAAGATGGTAACAATGCTGTTACCGAAACGTCACACACTATTTATTTGGTCTTATTACCTTATGTTTATAATCTATAATCCAAATTGTGCCTTATCAAGAAGACCATATCTTTGCAACTAGGTGGTGTCATATAGAGAGGTTCTACTGTACAGTCAAACCTTGATATAACAATCTCCGACAGCTAAATACCAGAGAATTGTTCAGGATTTCTTCATCACTAAACATCTTTCGGATTTCACTCCCTTTTTTTTTTATAGGAACACCACACTGAGAAAGAGTGTAAGAAAGAAAGAAAGGTGATAAAAAATGGGTTTCCAATTTTATTCATCCATTAAGTCTGCTAATTCTGTCTCTCTGGAGTGCGATGGAGAAAAAGGAATTAATCAAATCGAGGGCTCCACACACACACGCAGAGGGAGGAAGTTTTAATTAATTCTTAATTGAAAATATCGGGCCAATTTTAGTACAGCGGAGACTCCGAGTGAAGATTGTACCTATGTTGCTGCAGGTACCTAGGGAAGATTTAACACTGATGATTATTTATGATGGACTATAGATTTTGCATCCATTTTGATGGAAGAGGTATCATTTTTGCATAAAGCACAATTTGGATTATATATTATAGATATTTTTCTATTTAAAATCTCCCTCAGCCTTTTTTTTCTTTTTCTCTTTTTTGAGCAAGGATTCCACACACACACACATAAGCCTTTTTATTGGGGCATCCAGCCCTATACATGATTCCCCTCTACGGGATTTAGGAAAGGAAGATATTTCAAAAGTAAAAACTAGAATACAAGAAGTAATAAGGAAAGAGAGAAGAAAGAAAAACCAAAAAAAAAAGAAATATAACCATATATACAAAAAAATAAACATACAGAGCAAAAGGAACCGTACATGATTAAATATTTAAATTAAAGTACCAATGTTTAGAATATGTCAAGGTTAAGATATCATTGAGAGGGCTAGTGTGGAATCAGCCGCATTCAATCTTCGCTTTCCTCCTCCGAGCAAACCACGACATTCGCGAATCCATCATTCTCCAACGGACATTGACTGCGGCCTTGTAGAATCTATATAAACCGAGGGAGAGACCCTGATCAACCATCAGTGTGTTCATGAGCAAGGATCCCATTTCTTCCCCTGCTTTCTTTTTGGATCCATTTCTCACAGGAGATTAGTCTGTATAAGACGGAATGTCTTAATAAAAGGCTTGTGTGTGTGTGTGATACAAGAAAATAAGACCCAAATAATTTAATAGTTTCTGTAACAGAATTGTTACCATCATCACTATGGTACCATAGTAACAATGCAGTTACAAAAACATCACACACTATCAAATTATTTGGATTAGGTCTTATTTTATTGTATCACATACACACACACACACAAAAGCCTTTATGAGGGACTTGCCCCATACAGATTCTCCCAATTGAGTAAGGTAATAATCATCTTGTGTTATTTACATAGAAATTGAACTGGCTTTACTCTTCGTCTCAAAGTCATTCACTTGTTGACTGGTTCTTACATAATGATGATCTAAAATTTTTTCTTGTATCCCATTGTATAAATTATACAAGGTCACGGAGACCAAATTCATAGATCAAATATTTATTAAGGTTAAAATATCTGGTGCTTCCTGGGATTCTTTTAAAAAAAAATTAAATTCATATCTCCATAACTTCCAGGCATGAAAGCCCTTCTACAAGAGAAAACGCACAATTCAACTTAAATATTGATACAAAGGATTTATTTTATTGAAAATTGTCTTTTTATAAATTCATGATTGATTTACTTGCAGAGAAAAAAATCCTAAATTTCGACCTTAGAATTGGTCCAGCCACTTTTCCAGATGAACATCTCTTTAGGTACATTCTCAGAAGATTTCTTTAATCCCTTGTGGAACTCATGAAATCATCAGTCTACTCTGGGTTGATGAGGGCAATAACTTAAATTTATGGTCGTTTGCAGCAGGAGTAATGATAATGCACAATTTGGATTATACATTATAAAACACAAGGTAATAAGACTAAATATAAAGAAATAAATATTGTCACGTTAGTAACAACACTGTTACCGAAACATTACACACTTTATTTATTTAGATTTGTTCTTATTACCTTGTGAAAGAGGAGGAGGAAGAAAAAAAGGGTGTGAGGTAAGAAAGAAAACTGCCCATCAAACATCCAGGTGTTTAGTAGAAGCAATACAGATATAAAAAAAAAGAAGAAAAGGTAACAGGGGTCAAGGCCAAGATAATTATGGGAGGGAGGGGGTAGTTGGTATCAAATTCCAATTTCTTTTTTTTTCTTCTCACTCACCATCTTTTTTTTTTTGTTTCCTATAAATTATTCTTCCCCCATTTCCTTCTTTACCAACCCTCTCTCTCCCACACAAGAGACTTTAGGGTATACACTATTGCCTCTCTACAATAACAACAAGCTTTATTAAGATCTTTTAGTCTTATACAGATTCTACGAGTATAGAAATGTAGGGTACATGCAGGAAAAAAACAGTAATACAATAGAATTTCTCTGTAAAAGACACCTAGTTGCAGAGCCAAAATGTCCTTTATAGAGAGGTGTCCTCTTACCAGAGAGTTGCTATATATCAAACATGGTAATTTTGCAAATGAAAACTGTCCTTTATAGAGAGGTGTCCACTAGCACGAGTGTCCTCTCGTGGAGGTTCTACTGTATATATACAGTATATCTACAAAGGACAGTTTTCATTTGCAAAATTGTCATTTTTACTATTTAGAAACTCTCGGGTAAGAGGACACCTCTCCATAAAGGACACTTTGACTCTGAAATTAGGTGTCCTTTACAGGGAGCTTCTACTGTATATGTATTATATAAAACTTCAAGTGTTGTTTTACAATCACAAGCCGCAGTGTATTATATTGTATTATAAGTTACTTAATGTGTTATTTATGAACGGAAAAATACGTCCAGGGTAGCCTAGTGGACATGGCATCTGCCCGGTAAGCGGAACATTGTGGGTTCACATTCCTTTTTTTGTGTTGAATTAAACTGATTGTTTAGAGTATATAGCTGAGCTATATTCCACCCTTTCTCTTTAAAGTAAACCATCTTGAGTATTCTTTCCCCACAAAGAAACTTCTTAAAAATGGAGAGATTTTGAATCACCTCCAAGGACAGGTTATAAAATTCTTGAGCGAATTACGCTGGAAGGAATTGAATTATGAGGTTCATTTTTTTTTTTTACATATTCAGTCTAGTGGTTGTGTAAAATTTCCTCCATCAATCACTTTCTCCCGTAAATAGCAACACTTGGAGGTTGTCCGCTAGCTCTTCCTGTTTTGCCGCTGCTGCACCCTAGCCAGCTGGCCATCAAGGTTGTTGAACGGAGGTGTAAAGGTGGTGGAATTTGGTAGAGAGGCGTGTAAAGGTGGTGGAATTTGGTAGAGAGGCGTGTAAATGAGAAATTTGATATAGAGGCGTGTAAAGGTGATGGAATTTGGTAGAGACAGCACTTGTGTTATAGTTTGAAAAAAGAAAAAAAAAAACATTTAACAACAACAACAAGGCGGGAAAATAGCATAAAAAGAATGTGGATATAAAGAAAATTTAACAACAAAAAAAGATTTAAACATAAAAAAAGGGGGGAACAACACCAACCGAATAAAGGAGTATTAAACATTTAAGAATAAAGAAAAAGCTGGAGGAAAGAATACCGAGTAAGGAAGTGAAGAATGAAAAAATTTGTAAAAGATCCAAAGACATAAAAGAACAAAGAGGTATACAAGTTCTTCCCTTGTCTTACAGAGGGAACACAGGTAGCAGATGACAAAGGAGACACTTTATGAGAAATTAAGTGTTGTGGGGGGGGAGTTTATAAGAATGGGGGCAGTAGGGGGGGGGGGCATAGGTTAGCTGAGAAGGTCACTTCCTTCATCTCTTCTTGCTCTTAAAAAAATTACTGTTTACAAAATTATTTCTCTTTCTGATAAAAGTTGGAAGCTGCATTTATTCTTTTGTCTGATGACGGTAACAATTCTGTTGTCGAAACGTCACTCACTATTAAATTATTTGGATTAGGTCTTATTTTCTTGTAATATTTCTCTTTTATTTATTACAATACACACATGCTATATCCTATATAGATATTTGTGTGTAAATGTTCAAACTATGTTATGTACCTAGTTTTAAAATATATATAAACAAATTATTTCTTTTATTAGAGAGTGTGTGTGTGAAAAATTAGTTATATTAGGGTAAATGACAATTTAGAATTATGCCTAAATTAGTCCATTTAAAACAAAAAATAATAATAATAAAAACTACACAGTTGAGTTAACAACCACAAATAATTTTTAAAAAAAGTTAACCTAACAAAAAACAATAATAAACCAAAGTAATAAGACCTAAACCAATTCTATTGGATTTGGTCTTATTACCTTGTGTTTAGACTTTCCAGAATGGTTGCAGGGTTTTGCCACTATGTACTAAGTGCAATTCTCAGCCTGCAACCCCAAGACATATTATTGACTGTATTGACTCGTCCATTGATGAGCTCTACTCTTTCCCGGCAGACACCATCAAAAGTCTCAAGATTTACAAGCTTGATACCTTAATATGATTGAATCTAGATAAGAAAGAAGAAAAAGACCTTGTGTTTATTATCTATAATCAAAATTCGAAACTATTATAGATGCATATGATTCTTTTTAAAAAATAAACAATTTCTACTGCCCTTTTGGGAAATGGAAAAATTAATGGGAGGGCTTGATAACAGATGGCGCGCTAATGCATCATAATATAATCTATAATCCAAATTGTGCCTTATAAAAAAAAAAACAATAATAGTAAAAGAATGATAAAACAAAAAATAATAGTAAAAGAAAGATTAAAAAAAAAACTAAACAAGAACAGAGTATGTATATATATACAAAAGAAGGTTTACAAAACTTTTTTTCTTCCTCCTCCCCATTTCGGAAGGATGGAGAAGGTAGGAATACAAGTTTGGGATAAGGAAATGGTCAAGAAGGAAAGAACTGGCGGAGAGTTTTTTATGGCGGCAGCGGCAAGTTGTTGGATCCGGCAACTTGTGCTTGGGGGGAGGGAGAACTTCTAAGCCACTACCACCTTCCTCAGCTTTCTGATAGAGTTCTTCTCAAATGTATCTCCTTTATAAACTTGAAAAAAAAAAAAAACTTCTTTATATTGCTGTCCTTATATAATTAGGGAAGAAAACGGTTAATTTTTTTTTCAAATATAGTCCAACTTCAATAAGACACAATTTGGATTATAGATTATAAACACAAGGTGATTGGGTGATTCTCAACCTACAACCCCAAAACATTTTATTGACTATATTGACTCATCCATTGATGAGCTCTACTCTTCCCCGGCAGACACCATCAAAAGTCTCAAGCTTTACAAGCTTGATACCTTAATATGATTGAGTGGAGATAAGAAAGAAGAAGAACACAAGGTAATAAGATCTTATTACCTTGTGTTTATAGTCCAATTTCCTTTAATTTCATAATATCCTAAAGAGATCTTAATTTGGTGTTGAATTAAAGTAAAATTTAGATTGATTGTTGTATATATGTAAAATGAGTTAAATTTAAAAAGTAAGTAATGACTCTTTCGATTGTCAAATGAATTTTAAAAAGTTGTAAATAACAATTAGAATATATATATTTTTTATTTCCATCTAATTGTTCTTTTACGCTTTCCTTGAGAGGACAACTTTCTACAAAGGTATATTTTCATCACCAAAATTACTCATTTTTTTAGTATTTAGCGATTATCCGGTAAGAAGACACCTCTTTCCCTAAAAGGACAGTTTGACTCTGCAACTAGGTGTTGTCCATTACAGAGAGAGAGAGTAGTTCTACTGTAGTTTAAGTTGTATTGTATATAAAAGATGCCAATTATGAGACAAGAAATCGAGAACAAGCGGTTCTTTTTCTTAGAAAGTAATAATTAGTAGTATAATCCAAATAATTTAATAGTGGGTGATATTTCAGTAACAGCATTGTTACCATCATCATCAGACAAAAGAATAATTGAGAAAAAAATATCACAGCAAGTTCTCAAATAGTACTGTTATCAATTTTTATTCTTTTTTTGTCTGATGATGGTAACAATGTGCTGTTACCAAAACGTCCTAACACCTATTCACATATTCTCATGCCCAGCAATGGCCGCAGCCTTGCAGAAAATTGACTTAGACCCAGAGCAGCAGCTTTACACACCCAAGATAGTGGATATAGCTGCTGCTGTGATGGAGATGCATGGAGACATCTGAGACTCTTTGGACACGACAACAACAACAAAACCAAAATGTCACACACTATTAAATTATTTGGATTAGGTCTCATTTTCTTGTATTTATAATCCAAATTGTGGTTTATCAATAATTAGTAGTATTGAGAGAAATTTCAGTAAGGAAATAGTAATTCCTCCAAATGATCCTGAAAAACTTTACCTTACACATAGTGGTATATGCAAATATAGAATTCCTTCTCTCTCATTTTTTAGATCATCATTATGTAAGGACCAGTCAACAAGTGAATAACTTTGAGACGTAGAGTAAAGCCAGTTCAATTTCTATGTAAATAACACAAGATGATTATTACCTTACCCAATTGGGAGAATCTGTATGGGGCAAGTCCCTAATAAAGGCTTTTGTGTGTGTGTGAAAAAATGCCTTCTTTCTCACACATGCCATTCTATATATTTTGGAGGGAGAAAAATGATGAATAAATGGCTCTTATTAAAGACAGAAAAAAAAAGAGGTAAAAAGAAAAAAAAAAACCTGAAAATTATTCAAGTTAGGTCCAAGCCAATTCAAAAATCCATTGGACTGTCCATTCACAGAGAGAATGGAGAACAATGCAGTGGTGAGGTTTTTCCTCCAAATCCTTGTGGTTTCATCCTGGGAAGGAAGTGATGCTTTGTTTTTTTGGTACATTGTTCAACCCACTCTACTATCCCTTGCTAGCTGAGGTACCTGCCATATTTCTTACCAACACTGATCCAATTCTAAGAATATTTTAGGATTCTTAGAAAACTATCTTCTTCTTATCTGTTATCTTTAATACAACAACAAAAGCCTTTATTGAGGACCTCTCGTCCTATATAGGATTCGCCAGTTTACAGAGTAATTGAAGAGAAGAGAACTAAGAATACAGAGAGAAACCTATATGTGTAGTAGGTATAGTATTTTCTACACTGTGACTATATACAACAGCAGCAACAAGCCTTTTACTGGAATCAAAGTCTCATACAGGATTCGTCATTCTAATCCTGACAAATGTTATCTTTAATACAAGAAAATAAGACCTAATCCAAATAATTTATTAGTGTTTGACGTTTCGGCAACAGCATTGCCACCCTCATCAGACAAAATGGTGACAATGCTGTTGCCGAAATGTCACACACTAATAAATTATTTGGATTAGGTCTTATTTTCTTGTATTATAATCTATAATCCAAATTGTGCTTTATCATTATCAGTATTCTTGTTTACACACTTGATAACAGTAACTATTTAAAACATGCTGTGGTAAAATTTCAGTACTTTTTGTTTGATGATGGTAACAACGCTGTTAACTGAAACGTCACACACTATTTATTTATTTGAATTTGGTGGGTCTTATTACCTTGTAGTTCTCTTCTTCTTCTTTCTTATTTACACCCAATCATATTAGGGTATCAAGCTTGTAGAGCTTGACAACCATCATGACTGGGTGAAGTTAAATGCCTTTGTCATTAAGACTGGGAGCACTACTCAGTGGCAGGCCAACTTAGCTCCAAAAGAAATGGCTGCCTCCGACATGAGGAACAGACACCATGTGCAGCAGCTCCTAACATGGAGTACAAACCCTGCTCATCCTGTATCCCTGGATTAGGAGCCCTTACAGGGTACTATCAGCCGGGCCAGCTGAGCCCAGGGTTTTGAACGAGTTTGTTACTGCTCCCCCTCCTCCTTTTTCATCCGGGCTTGGGACCGGCAAAGGCGGGTAGTTCTAAATCTATAATCCAAATTGTGTT